TGCTTATATTTAGTGATTACATTCAGGAGGTTGTGTACCATAATCTTTTTAGTCTTGGAGTCTATAAAGGTCTTACTCAGTGTCCAATGGGCACATGCTCTAGGAGAACTCTGAAATATTAAACCACAACAGGAAGCTAATCATAGAGGCTATCACACAATGGGATCAAAATAGAAACAACCATCACATGTATCTGGGTCAAAATTGAAGGGCAAAGTAAATCTATTTCACTATGCACATTTCATTTTCTATTCACAAAAACTCAGTTTTGTGTTAAATGGGGCGTCCCTTGGGATAGTAAGAAAAAATAAAACTAACATGAGGGAGAGCTTATTGATTAAAAATTTAAAAATGCACACAGGTAAGGCTGGGTCTGACAGATGTGTCCCTCAGAGTTAAGCCACTTAAATTTGATTCAATTGGTAACAGTGAATGTCTGAAGAGTTTTGAGATGGAAAGTGACATGATATAAATGGTGTTTGAGAAAAACTAGACTAGTAACTAAATATAAGATGGATTGGAAGAGATAATATAAAATCAGGAAGCCACAAGATTTAGTGATTAGGTGTAGGGGATGAAGGAAAAGAGTCAGTGATAACAAAGTGATAACGACATGGGCTGTTTGTGGGTTTTTTTGGCAAGGGTGACAGTACTGTTTATTAAAAACCAATCACATAGTCTAGTTATAGTCACAAAGGAGATGGAATAAGAGTATTGTTTAAATCTGCTTTGTTTTATAAAAAAACAAGAGAACTCAAGAGTATTTTCCCTTCATCTTGGCCTTATTTTTGAGGCCTATACTTCCTAATAATTCAATTCATGACAGTCTGAGAATAACAACATGACAAAAGGAAAAGCAATGGAAGCAAGTGATTGATTGGAGGAAGAGGGTGAAAGAAAAATTAGGGTGATTAGAAAAATCAAAAGATAGGAGATGAAAATGGAAGGCTTTACGTAGACAGGATGTGACTTATTGAAAATCCAAAGTTAGAGCCCAGATCTAGTGCCAAAGACAAAAAAAAAGCATGTTTCTCAGTTTTTGTTTGTTTACTGGAGGACCTTTGGGGGCTGCTTCTTTTGTTCTTGGATCATTTTAGAGCCAGCAAGTTCCCTTAGTTCAAGTCTGAATGATCTCAAAGTCATGGCAAAGTAAGAATCAGTACCTTGCAGATTGCAGGCATTCAGTTAAACATTTGCAGAATGAACAAATGAAGAGTTTTCAGGAATTAGTGAATGCCTGAAACAGAAAAAGAATCAGGAGAATCAAATCCAGTATAAAGTAGAAACAGGCTGAATACATAGACTGCAACTCATTGAAAACTATTACAGAGATGAGAAATGGGGCAATGAGTCTCTGGTTTTACTTGGTTTATAATTCCTAAAAGCTGTTTCCTTTTACCTTGCTTTCTTTCAGGCCATTATTACTTGGAAATTCAGAGGCTTCTTAGCTCTTATGATCTCATCCAGGACCAGCTATGAAAGCCAAGATCCCATCAGGGGTGGGGAACCTGCACCCTTAAGGCAAAATGTGGCCTTCTCGGTCCTTAAGTACAGCCTTTTGACTATATCCAAATTTTGCAGAACAAATCCTTTTATTAAAAAAGGGTGCAGCAGAAGGTTTTGTTTGTTTGTTTGTTTGTTTGTTTTTACCTCCTTTGGTGCTTCAAAAAGAAGAATCTTTTTTTTTTTTTTGAGACAGAGTCTCACTCTTTTCCCCAGGCTAGAGTGAGTGCCCTGGCGTCAGCCTAGCTCACAGCAACCTCAAACTCCTGGGCTCAAGTGATCCTTCTGCTTCAGCCTCCTGAGTAGCTGGGATTACAGGCATGCACCACCATGCCCGGCTAATTTTTTCTATATATATTTTTAGTTGTCTGATTAATTTCTTTCTATTTTTGGTAGAGATGGGGTCTCGCTCTTGCTCAGGCTGGTCTCGAACTCCTGAGCTCAAACAATCCGCCCGCCTCGGCCTCCCAGAGTGCTAGGATTACAGGCGTGAGCCACCGCGCCCGGCCCAAAAAGAAGAATCTTGAAATCAGAAGGCCTAGACTTACTTTTACTCCTCAAAAAAATTCTGACCATGATCTTTGCACTTGACAGACCCAGTGATATTTCTCAACAGTTGTTTCAAATCTTCACCACTCTCAGCTCCCTACTGCATGTTATTCTATTTTCCATTCAGCAAGGCACCTAGCAGGTCCTGTTTAATCTGTAATAGATGTAGCTTCCAGACAGGAGCTATGAAGAGAAAGGCCAGGCTCTCAATTCCCAGCTTAACCACCTTCCCCAGGGCCTGGCTACAGCAGTGACTTTTTTTTTTAATCTTCAATCTCTCTCTGCCTGCTCCTGCCCCTGACTATTCATACTTGCGTTTCCCCTACCACAGAAAATAACCCCATCCTCTGCCTCTCTATCAGACTTCTTAAAGTGAAGTTATTACTTCCTGCTTCAACTTTCTGACCTTCCTCCCATTAGCCCCTCAGCCACAATAATCAGGCTTCCACTCCCACTGTGCTAGAGAAAACTGCTCTGGCAAAGGTCACTAAAAACAAAGGAATCATAATATATGAAGCAGGACATGGCCATGGAAATCAGAATCTGCTAAGGAGTGTGTAACAACTCACCTGCCAGAATAAAAGAAGAGGAAAAAAAAGGTAATATATGAGGTCTTCTGTGAATTTCTCAACCTACTTGGATTCTCTGCAGAGTTGGTTGGTCTCTATGAAGTTCTTTCCTGGCCTCTGAGATACCACTTTTGTTTTTATACCTCTCTGGCCAGTCTTTTTCATTCACTCTTCTAATTCTACCATCCCTTAAATGTTGATGTTCCTAAGGGTTCTACCTTTGGGTCTCTTCTCATGCCAACACATTCCCTGAGCGATATCAACCTGCTCCCTTAGCTTCAGGTACCACCTGGACATTTCCGAATCATCATGTTCAGGCTGCCCCCACTTCTGGACCTCTCTGCTGAGCTGGAAGCTCTCTTAAATAGGCATAAGTAGGTTAACTGGAAAACAAATCAACCACTACAAGAGGACCTTCATCCATCTCACCTCCACTAATCCTGACATGCCTTTGTTGGCAGTAAAGGAAATTAGGAGGAGGGATGCTAACCTGTTATGAGCCCTTTGGCATTGGAGATGGACCTCCTCCCAATGCCCATAACCAGTCCTCTAAGTAAATATTCATGGGCAGAGATTCTGTGGGCAGACTTTTGTGCTGACATCCCCTCCAGAGAACAATGAGATAGTCCTGAGGTCGGCTGCAACAGTACCTTTAGAAGGAAGATGAGTTGGAAGTACTATACGGGTGGGTCAGTTTGAGTTTGAGTTTTGGGGGAAACTTTTGAGGTTTTGTTCACTTGGTTCCCAAGTCCCAACCCTCTCTATGTGTGGAGAATGTAAAAGATTGGGAAATTTCCAAGAAAGGACCCACGGCCTCCACCTAAACTTTCTGCAAGCATCCCAAACCCAACAGCTCCAAAACCGATTTCATCTCTCTGCTTGTACTCCATCTTAGTTAACAGTATCACCTTTCACCCTCCTGGTAGATGGAAACCTATGTTATTGGAGACTCCTCCATCTTCAGCAGTCCCCTCTTCGGTTCTAGGTTGGAGACTTATATCCTCGGGCTGGCTCCTTCCTTTGCTGGACCAGCCCCCCACCTCCATGCCTCTAGTCTCCATCCGACCCAATCCACGTGTCTGTCATACTACAGCCAGAGGCACCTGTCCAAAATACAGACTGATCGTCACCTCCCCTGCCTCGGGGATAATGCCCAGGCTCTTAATGGGGCATATGAGGCCCTTCACAACCTACCTTGACCTGTCTTCCACTTTATTCTCTGTTGACTCCTTCCCTCATCCAAGCAACAATGGGCTCTTCCTCATTTTTCAAACACACCATGCTAAGTACCAAGTGCTAACGATGTGCCAGGCACTAACCTAAACTTTGGAATACCGTGAACACAGAAGGAAGGTCTCTATTCCAATGCAACTCACATTTTAGTAGGAAGAGCCAGTCAATAAACAAGATAATTTCAGACAGTGATAAGATGCTATGGAGACAATGAAGTGGGATGTTGGAGGAAGGGATCAGATACTTTAGATCAACATATGGGAAAGGCCTTGAGGCAAGCACTAGCTTGGCATTTTCAAGGTTTCGAAACAAAGCAGTGAGATTGAACCTTATTATATACCTGAGAGGTGTTAAATGCACTAGATGAGGTGGAGCCAGATCACGTGTTTACTGGGACAGTTCCAAGTCCAGGGAGCTGAGAAAGGGCCCCTTACTGCAGTCCTCCCAGCCGGCCTCTTTTAGCGATTAAAATGAGATGGGGAGGTGTCCCCTAATATCCCTCACTAGTCCTTCAAAGCGAACCACTCGCCCGGCACTGGGGAGAATCCTGAGGCTCCCGCCACCACCTGGTGCTGCTTTTTTTCTGTTCCCGCCTCCATTACTAACTCAAGGGGCACAGCTCAGTCAGACTATGTTTGACGCCCCAGGGCAGGGACAAACCCAGGGCCCATGAGCTGGCAGGATAGAGAGGGCTTGTCACTACGATGAACGAGGCCGCCTCCCTATAAGCTCAGCCCTGCCTAAACCAAGGAGCCTGACCAAAGAGACAAGGGCGACGCCGCGAGCTGCAAGGCCCGGGATGGACTTCAAATCCCGGCAGACTCTGCGCGCAGGCTGCGGATCCCTCCGCTTCTCATTTGCCCCGCCGTCTGGGACCCCCCCCCCACAGCCCGCCAAGAGCCAAGGCTAGGTTTTTCCAGCATACAAGGTCAGTCTTCTCGTCATATTTCCGAAGAGGGCCGGCTGGGAGCTCCGGAGGAAAAATGGACTTTTTTTTGAGGAGAAAAGCGGAGGCAGACGGATGAAGAGATGGCGCTCTGAAGTCGCCGATTTTCGCGCGCTTTGGCGCGGGTGGTTGTGGGTAGTGCGCCCGGGAGGGAGAAAGAAGTTGGGGGCTGTGGCGCGCCGCCCGCAGGGCCTGAGGGGATGTTCGAGGACGAACCCCACACTGAGGGGGCGGCGGTGGTCGCCGCGGCCGGGGAGGCGCTGCAGGCCCTGTGCCAGGAGCTGAACCTGGACGAGGGGAGCGCGGCCGAAGCCCTGGACAACTTCACCGCCATCCGGGGCAACTACAGCCTAGAGGTGAGCGGCGGCAGGTGGGGCGGCCGGACAGACCCCCGCCAGGCCCCACCCCCGCCCCGCCCCTACCCCAGCCTATGGGGCGGTGGGAGTTTCCCCACCGCGGAGGCTCGCTGCCCCGCCGGGCGCCGCGGAGCGCGGGGCGGGAAGGGTGGGTGTAGCTCAGGCAGTCCACCCATTTTTTTTGAGGCGGGAAACTAAACCCTAGAAAAGGAGCAGCTTGTCCTAGGTCCCGCGCCAGTCAGGGGGACTCCAGACTCCGGGCTTCCAGACCATACCTCCCTCCGCCCCGCCAAGCGCCACAAACGTCATGGTACTGCCCTGACATCAATGAAAACAAATATAATTGTAAAAACGAAAATGAATTGCGTGCCAAGACACCACTGCTCAGAGCTTTAAATATACCACCTCAGTTCTCTCTGAACACGTTCTGTTCTCCCCGTCGCACGGAACGGGAAGTGGGGCCCCAAAGAGGTTAAGCTACTTGCCCAGGGTCACAGGGTAGTGATGGAGCCAGCAGGGCTCTGAGCCATTGAACCTCTCCATCCTCCGCCTCACCAGGGTGGAGGTGTGGCCACTCGCTTTGTAGCGCAGCACCCACCGTGCGGTAGCCCGATCGAAGCCGATGTGCACACAAAGCTGATCTCTCCGCCCCACGTTCCTCCTCCAGCACATCATGGTCCTGATGAAGCCAGCAAAGTGTCTGGCTCTGAATAAAATAAATGTCGGCTATCATTATTAGGTTTCCCCTCTCACTGGTACATTTTGTCCTCACGACAGCCCTGTGAACATGGCGTGGCAGTCAGTGTTATACCTGCTTTCTGGGGTACCAAGGCTCTGAGGATTGTCTTGCCCAGGGTCATTCCAATGTGGAAACCCAGACGAGCGTAAGCCCACTGCAGAGACAGAATTGTGATGGAGTGTGTTTCAGCTTATCATTCCAACCACCTTATGTTCAGAGGCGTTTATGAGCCAAGAGGGCTCAGCCCACGCACGGGGTGCTGCGCCGACTCACCACCCAGTGAAATAATTAATTGCTGAGTTCAGAAGCATAAAGTTGGAAATGTGCAGTCGACTGTTTGTGTGTCTATATATGAGGGAAAAGTACCCAAGAAAGACTCTTGTATGTCTCCAGGATGGGACTGGATAAAGGACAATGAATGATCTGCATCTGTGAGTAGCATGCCTGGAAAGCCGAAGGAAAAATAAGAAAGTAAGGGAGATTATGAATCAGTGGCCTCTCAGTTGAAAACATTGATTTTTGGAAGCCTGAGAAAGCATTTCTGACATCCTAGGTGCTCCTTTGGTCTCTCATTGAATAAGCATTTACTGTATGCAAACTATGGTCAAGGCACTCAACTAGGCACCTGTTTCAGGTTCTTGAAATATGACAAGCTTATTCGCAGTTGTGTGCTTCTCCATGCCATTCCCTCTGCCGGGAACCTTTCTCTCACCCCCAACTCCAGGGGAGGTTGAAGAGCTAAATCTCTAGTTAGGCAGAGTTGATCAGGATATCTTAAATGTTTGCTTTAGAAAGCACCTGATTTATGACCTGAGATTTTGTGAGTGTTTATTCTGTCCAGTGTTTTATTTTCCTCCTCTTACCTCCCCCTTTCGGTTTTTGGTGAAAGGCACTTGGAGTAGGCACTTTCGTATATCTCAGCTGCTTCCCAGGAACCAACCCCCGCC